TGAACGCGAAATAGGTGTCATATTGTGGACTAACCTATACCTTATGATGCTGAACAATTACATGAATGTGTTCGTCAGCAAGCTCATTAGAGAATGCTTTGCGAACCTTGTACAATGGGAGCAGCTTCTCTCCATTCAGCACTGTTTTGATGTCATTGAAGGAGTCATTTTTGAGGGTAGTATCGTTTAATCTGTCGAGAGAAACATTCACTTTCCAGAGAACAAGTTCATTGGCATCAACATTATAGAGTGCGTTCTGTTTCTTCGCTTTGATAATCTCTTTAAGCTCGCTAATAGTCTCATCCTTACCAATCCTAACCGTAAAGGCATGTTCAATAGGGTCACCAAAAACAAGACAGACAAGTTCAATATTAGACATATCTATATTCAAAGCAAGATATTAGCAATAATAACAATATAAACAACAATCAGTAGATAAAAAAAATTCCACTGATAGATTTTTTGAAAGCAAATTATGTTATCGACCCATTTTTTGGGGTTGAGGCTTATTGCTACATAAAAAACCTTTTAGACAATGCAAAAAAAGTGTCAGATCATGTCATATTTATGTATGTCCGGAAAAATTTAAAGGTTAGGGTTAGGGCTGGAGTCAATATTATAATTGTCTTTCAAGTTATATTTAGGCATCTGTTTCCCGCATTTTGCTTTTTTTCATTTTCTTGTGGCGGGTTTGTTTTGCCGGGCTGATAAAATTTACGTATATGTTTGTGCTACTAGCAGATCAAAAATTCACATACACATCCTTATTGGTTGTCACGTTATCATCCATATTTATTCATGCAAAATCGTTATGTACTTAATGGCAATAGTTATTTTATATATGTACATGTACTTGGATTTTAAAATATTGCTGCTATAATGGTAGCAATAAATAAATAAAAAGTAGAAACTTGAAATTAATTCCTATTAATACTAAAAGATAGATTAATTTGTAATATTAAAGTGTTTGTAATAAGAGTGAAAATTTGATTTGTTATCATTTTACTAAAAACACATAAGTGTAACTACACATTATTATTATTTAATATTATGATCATTAAATAATACATTACAACTTCAACTCACAAGTGTAACAAATCCGAGTTTTGTCAATACTAAAGCTACTATAACAGTGTTCAATTTACAATATTCATAACTGTGATAAATGTACTCATTGTTAAAGTTGTTAAAGCTACAGGTACTATGATTAGTATTTAGTTTTATACTCATTATTATAGTAAATATATCAAATGTCAAAAAATATAATAACTGTATTGGATACAATATTTATTATGAATAAATTTATATTGGATAATTTAGCAAAATAAAAATATTAACAGTTTAATAAATATGATAGAATTACTAGTAGAAATCATAGTTTATTCAAATAGATCTCTTTTAAAGAATTTACCAATGTTAAATATCTTGCAAAAGAAGATTTTGAATCAATTTATAAAGCAATCTGGTTAAACAAACCATTAGATAAATATAAGAGATATGCTTATAAAGAAAATAAACTTGAATAATATAAAGAAAATAATATCGAAATTTTATTAAAATTATTATACAATTCAAAGCAAATAATATCTGAGTTTATAAATAAGATAAAAGAAAGTGTATCATAATTTGCCGTTTAGAATATTCCAGATATGTTACATTTTACCAGCTAAACTCTAATTTGTACTGGGAAGTACACTGTACGGCAGACGAGTATATTATATGGATGATATTCTATATAGAAATAATAGTTTCAGCCAGAATTACAAGAGGGTACGTTATATTCTATAGTGCAAATAGTCTAAAGACATTTAATATATCCAATATTTTAAACTATAAAGGATTTGCATTCAAACACTTTAATCACGAAAAAAATACGTTGCTAAATAACCTTTGATGAGAATTATAATATAACATATATTTCTTGTGATTTAAGTGTTTGGATGCAAATCCTTTACAGTTTAAAGTTTTGGATATATTGGATGTCTTTAGCACCATACAGTAGACTCTCTCTATAACAAACCTCTTTATAACGAACTCTGGATATAACGAACCTTAAATTTTTAAATTTTATATTAGTTCGTTATAGAAAGAGTAGTGGGCTCTATAGAAAACATAGTGATTTTATATAACGATACTAACAGAACCATCAGTTCGTTATAGAGAGAGTGGACTGTAGTCAAAATTCCGAAAAATTTCAAATTGGTTGGTTGCTACTTTTGATCATCCATATGATGCCGTTAATTCGGTTAACATTTTTATTAAAGCAACTAAAGAAAAAACTAACGAACAAAGAACAAAGCGAAGAATAAACTAAACAAAAACAGACAAACCAACTAATAAAATAACGGGCAGATAGAATAAATTACCAAGCTAAAAGAAATTCGCATAAATTACCCCATTATAGAAATTTAAACTTCAAAATTTTTATTACTATATTTAGATTTTCTACTTTATACAATGCTTTACGGTAATCAGAACCAATTAATTTAGAACAAAGTTATTATTTAGTGTTGAAAAAAGAGATTGAATGTGCGGTGAAGATTAGCATGGCCAATTTATCTAATACGTCATATCATTAACAACGATAACTGTTAATATTGTTGGGGGAGTTTGTTGAATTTGGAATAATTAATATCTCTGGTATCATAATAGTCTTTGATAACCATTATCGATTCATCATTATCAAATAATAAAGAATCGTCGTTGTTTATAGAAGGAATTAGCATTGATCTTAGAAGGGAGCGTATCGATTGCTGTCGAAACGAATTGGTGTTGTATCATTTATAGCCTTATTTATTGAAGGCGACGGTGACTTAATACTCATTGAGCTAGATTTAGATGACGAAATAAACGCATATTTCCTTTGTTTGAATCTTTCGTTTATACATCCTCACGGAAAGTAATGGCGAAAAAATTTTTACCCATATAATTGGCTCCAAAAATGGCTGGTGTTATTTCTATGAATATCTATTCTGAGATGTATCTCCATCCGTAATGCATATCCTGGTCTGGACAGAATTTCGATGATTGTGACACGATTTTGAAGGGTATCAATTTGACTCATTGATTTTAAGTTAACAAATCTTCGCCCATTAAGAAAAATGTTCGGCTTAAAAGAGTTGTATTAAAACTATATATTATTTTATAAAATAAAAATCGTAAAGAGTAAATTGAAGTAACATTATTAGTAATACTAATAATTCAAATGGCATTCAAACTTGCGTTGACATGAAAAGAGAATGTTTGATTTTTTAAGAGCAATGAGAATTTTTTTGTGTAGTTCTTAAAAAATTAACCGCCTTTACTTTCCGTGCGGACTATACTTGTAATTAGGGTATATGCGCTTATGATTCTCGCAAGTTATTTTCGCCAATACTTTGAAAAAATGGTTAACCTCACTGAACAGCTGTCGCCACTTCAGGTTACTCTCTTGAGGTGTATGTTTGACTTGTTTAACGTCAGGGATACGACAACGTAAACTTGCTTCATAATCTCTTCGAAAAATAATCCAACTATTTTGTGGTAGTGGTTATCAAAATTAAAGCGTTTTTTACAGCTGATTCTGTTAATTTGTCAATAGGAAAGTTAATTGGTAAGGGGATTGTTCGAAATTTTTTATTTCATTGTCAGTTAAATATCCGTAATTGAGTCCTACGTTAATAAGTATTGTATATGTTGTATAGAAGTATGATATGTTCGGAAAATCACGGTTTATACTATATTCTATATCCCGAGTCAATAGCGTAACCCTTATCCATACCAAATAACGCTTTTGTAGCGGGTCTTACGCTAATACGTATTGTCGGATCAAGCAGAGGAGTATGGATGGTACGGGCAATAAAATGTCAGTATGGTATGCTTTTTTTACTATACTTTATATCCTGGACCAATACCAAACTCTTTACCGAAGTAAGTGTGGCATACTCCGACAATACGTATTAATGTAAGACCCATACAATACTAACTAGCTCAACCATACCATAAATGAATGCTGGAATTATTCATTTTAGATAATTAAATTTGCTATAACGATAAGTGTAATTGAGAACAAATTAAATATTTATTTTTTAACAAATAACTCTATATTTATACAAATATTTGATACACGGAACAAAAAATTTGTAGTTTAAACCTAATTTCCCATTCCAATAGCACAGTGATAACGGCAACCAACATTCTGCATCAACGAGTTTAAATACCTTTTGCATTCACAAAAAAATTTTAAGCCAATCATAGTTGTCAAGAATCGATTACACGGATCTCGAACTGGTCTAGTGAAAAATCACTAGTGTTCTTGGCCGATACCAAAAATCAATCAACCAGGCTGGAAAATCAATTTTTATATATCGATATCGGCCAATTGGCTTAATAAACTTAATCGTCGTGTATTTAAAAAACATTCTATGATAATAAATGCCTTTAAAATTCGAAAAGAAGAAATTTGTCTAGGTTTCCACCGGGTAAATTTTCATGATAAAGATTAATATTTTCCAAGCCAGCAGTAATCACTCATAAAAAATCTATTTTATTTTTTCAACTAATAATACGAGTGTCTCCCGTTATGGTGACACGCTCGGGATAGCAAAAAACACCACTATAATGAGGTGTCAGTGTATATATACTGTTATAATTTTTTACTATAATGTGTCAGTATATCGAGTGAATGTAGAAAAGATCAAATAAGCGGTGGTCACTATAATGGGAGACACTTGTATCTTAATGCACTGATTAAAACCATCATTCTCATCACAAATATAAAGAAATTCTTTGTTATAATTAATAACACATGTAGTTATTAAACGATGAACATTTTATTAAATAATATAAACCGACCAATGAACAAGAAACAAAGTGAAAGAACGAACCAAACGTAAAAAACAACAGATAGAATAAATGAACAGAATGAATTAACAAGCTGAACGAAAGGATAAAACAAACGAAAAAGCAGAAGTGAATGATAGATTTAATAATCTAAGAAACTTGTCTAAACACGTCAATCTCTATATTAAACTATTGCTAATGTCTCCGATATCATTCATATCATCGAGTACATAATACTTTGCAATTATTTCCCATATGTCATTATCGATTTCACCGGTGTTAATTAACAAAGAATCGTCGTTGTTTGTAGAAGGTAGGGCTGGGGAATTAGCATTGATCAACGAAGGTAATGATATTAGTGGTTGGTGACGAATTTGGTTTGGTTGTGAATTGTCGTCGATCGAGGTATTAATAGCGATAGAAAATTCGTCGTTAATATCAACATTTCCAGGTAAAAAAGGAAATTGATCTAATGAAATTATTTCATTAGACATGTCGTTGACCGAATTTCTGACGTCATTATTAGTTTCGGTATTGATCGTGGAAGGATGAATATCATCAATGGTTGTATCGGATAAAAAAGGAAATTGATCCAATGAAATTATTTCATTAAACGCGTTGTTAAACGAATTTCCGACATCATTACTAGTATTGATCGTGGAAAGATATGTATCATCAATGGTTGCTGAATCCGCATTATTAACGTTAATCTCAACATTTCTAGATAAAAGAAATTGATCCAATAAAGTTATTTCATTGGACGCGTTGTTGACCGAATTTCCGGCATCATTATTAGTATTGCTTGTGGAAGGATGAGTATCATCAATGATTGTTGAAGCGGTGATAATGGTATGATTATATTTGGTTGTTAATATTATATCATTCAAAGAGGGAGATCTAACGATTTCTTGTGATAAATTGTCACTCATTGAGCTGGACATGGGTAGCATGTATTTCTTTTGTTCGCGAAAAACCCATTTCTTAATGTTTGAATCTTTCGCGTTTCTTGGTTTATACTTATAATTAGGATATATGCGCTTATGATTCTCACAAGCTATTTTCTCCAATATTTTGAAGTAATGCTTGACCTCACTTGACAGCTGTCGCCACATCAGGCTACACTCTTGAGTCGTACGTTTGACTTCTTGTCTGACGTTAGGACTGCAATAATGTAAGCTTGCTTCATAATCTTTCCGAAAAATGATCCAACTGTTTTGTGGTCGTGGTGGATAATCAGAGTTATCGCGTTTCTTATTGGCAGGCTTTGTTAATTCTTCAATTGTGAGAGTTAGATCATAAGGAGGTTCATTTAGAAGTTTACGTTCAGTTTCTGTTAAATATTCGTTATTATTCATTTTATTCATTTATTTATTTTTTAAGCAGTTGTTTACATGTATATATATCAAATCTGAAAAAAATCGAATTACACATTAGAACAAAAAATCGCCATTTTTGGTATATGATGTTCCATGCAATATCATCTGAAAAAAAATTCGAATTACACATTAGAAAAAAAATCGCCATTTTTGGTACATGATGTTCCACACAATATCATAAACAATTGTTTGTCGAAATTCATCCGAACTCACACTTATTATAAAAAAAATGGGTCTTCATATACGGTTTGGATGATTATAAATAAAATATACATGTACTATGGTTAATCTAAAAGTAGTCTATCATACTAACAGTACATTATGATGCGTAATTAAAATCTGTGCTCGGTTCCTGATCACGTGCACGTGATCAAACCAATAAGGATGCAAAACAAATCCGACACGAGAAAAAAAGCAAAATACGGGAAACAGTTGTTTAAATCTAGCTTGGTACACTAAAAAAATGTCGGGAAGACACTTTTACATATAATCTTGGCTCCAGCTCTAACCCTAATCCTAACCTTTAAATTAAGCTTTAGCAATAACCGTAGAATTTTTCCGGACATACACATAATCTGACACTTTTTTCGCTGTGGCTAGGGTATTAAATGATTGTCATTGTTACGTATTTAAATGTGCATCAAAGTGAATGTAAAACCCTGCCTGTCTTCCACATTAATTACTTGTTAAAAAACATGTCCGAGTTTACAAGAAATCTTATTAAAGACTTGACCGAACTTTTGAGAAATTCTGATGAATATAATATTAAAATTATCGCCGGAGAAGGTAAAAGCACTCAAACGTTTCAAGCTCACTCACTTGTTTTGCGTATACGTTCCCCCAATTTTTGACATGCTTTATAAAAAAGAAGTGATAATGGTTTTAAAAACCAAATATTTCACCTAAATATTTGAGCTTATACTCAAGTATGTGCATTATTTTATTTTGATTTCACCTTTTAATCATAAATAATCATTCTAATAGCTCGTAAATTAATCTATGTCTATATAGTTATTTATATGCCAGCGTAATTGATCTCAATAAAGAAAACGGACATGATGTCTTGAGTTTACTTGTTGCCGTATATGAACTAGAAATCGACGAATTAATTCACCATGCTCAAGATATTTTGATTACAATCTACTTGGGTTCAACAGATCTCGTAAAGATTTTGCATACCGTTTCTCTTCACGAATAATTCAAGAGGTTGAATGAGTATTGTGATACAACTATCAGGAAAGAACCTCATATGTTTTTCGAATCAGAGGATTTTTTTATTTCTAAAGGAACTTGAACTTGTTTCTTTACTAAAATGCGATAATCTAGCAATGGACGAAATCGAGGTTTGGAATTCAATCATCAAATGGGACTAAGAATACCTCGAATTTAGGTAACCAACCTATTTCAAAATGGACACCTCAAAATTTTGCGGCTCTAGAAAAACTCTTCATAAATGCATTTATTGATACGATATAGTGATATCTCCACCAATGATTACTTCGAAAAAGTGATTCCTTATCGGCAAATCCTTCCAAAGGATATAAAAATGGAAATTTTGGGTTATCATCTTAAAAACTCTACAACTTGTTAAAATTCTACCTCCTCGATCAGGCGTCATTGACTCTAAAATTATTAGCTATAAACACATTAAGTTGATTTCATCTTGGATCGATAAGAAAGATCATACCAATTTCTCTAAAGACATTTATAAGTCACCATATAAATTTAAGCTCCTCTATCGTGGCAGTCAAGGTTGTTTCGCAGCTTCAAAATTCCACGAGCTTTGTGGTTCTCAAACTGAAAGAATTATCAGCAGTTATAACCCTAGCATTTGGAGAGGAGTCAATTATGGTAATCAAATTTCTTATCTAGATGCCCCTGTGACTTTTGTCTTTACTATCATTGATGGAAACGTAAAGTTTTTACGCAGTGTTTCAGGAATCAAATTGCATATTATCCTTATCAAATTTTTTCAGCCCATATAATGATCTATTTATCAGCGACCAATGCAATCAAAATGCTTCGAGTTGGTATCTTTCTAGTCACTTTACGCCAAATATAAGGATATGGGATAACAATACTTCTGATTATTTTAAAGTAGATGGATTTGAAGTATTTCAGATAATTTTAGTTTAAACGACAAATTATTTTAATTATAAAATTATCGCATCATTATTTTATATATAATCAAAATTTTTCTTATTTAATTTTAAGAAACCTTTTCAAGTTTCAACTTCTGCTTAAATTTGAGAACTTCAAAAAATATACCATTATCATTGTTGATGATAGAAACACAAAAATGTTTTAAGCACACACGCTTGCCTCGTCTGCGCGCATTTCATATTTTCAATATAGAAGTTATTTATCTTCTTGTATATCTTCCAACATGTAGTTCGTAATGAGATAATCTAAAAAGTATCAAGTTACAATAATGAATTAAAGCTAAAATACATGTACTTGCAGATTACGTATAATGTAACACCATGGAAATGTATCAATTATCTAAAGCTAATTTCACGTGGATTGTTAATTTTACATTTATACATGTATTTTGTTACACCTCATACATATGCTATATGCCCATGATCGGTGAAAATACTTTAAGACTGGCAAAATAAATTAACAGCTAATAATATGGACAAGTAAAAATGATACAATTTTTATCAAATTTATAAAAACATGAATCAATAAAAACTTCTGTTATTAATATCAGGACATAAAATGCAATAATATATATATATATATTAGTATAACCAACGCATATTTCAAAATACATATTTATATTTTTGTAACTCTTATTGTTATCACCAGCAAAAATCAAAAAATTTGGGGTACTTGGAGAGTGTCTGGAAAATGCTGGAATATATATTCTGATAACGTTTTCAGAATAATCCGAGTACTTTCCAGTTTTGGGAACCATTCTATAAAACTCCACATAATTTCTAACAATCTGAAAAGTACTTTGAATGTGTTAGAATCACTATTGCATTTATAAATTGCAATAGCATACTAACATATTTTAAGTATCTCACAAATAATTATTAGAAATTATGTAATAGAGTTTTATAAAATGATTCACAAATTTTTATAAAAATTTGATATCCAGAGTGTCATAAAAATATGCAATTCTTTTTGAAATATCATAAATGAATAAAAATTATATTCTAATCAATTTGAATATCCAGTATGTTAAAAATTGCAATTTATAATTAAATAAATTTTTTGATTTATTAAATTAAGGAACATTTTAACAATTTGTACTTGTTCATATTATTTTGTACATTTTAGAATACTCAGAATTTCTTAGTATATAATATTTATATAATTTTGAATACTTATAATTTCTTGATATATATATATTATAATATTTATTTATTATAATTATAAAAACATATTATTATTAATAAATATAACTAGTACTAAAATAAATTATAATAATATTTAATAAAATAATATATTATGCAATTTATTTTCTTTTGATAATATATATATATATTTAAATCTTAATATTATATAAATTTTGGTTATTTTTCAGAAAAACTAAAAATAGATATTTGCTAAATTATATATTTTACTTTTAAATATTTTATTTACTTGATTTTATTTTATATAAAAAATTATATTTATTTAATATTTAGAGAAATCTTTTTAAATATATTCTTTATAAATGTATATATTATATATATCATTTCTAAATATATTGAACTTGGATTAAAAGAAAAAATTAAATAATATTAAAAAAAGAATAATATTTTAGTCTTATATCATTTTTATAAAAATCATAATAATTTAAAAATATAATAAAAATATAAAAGAGTTTTAAAAGAATAAAAATTAAAAAGAGAGAAAAATTTAAAATAATAAAAAAATAAACAATAAAAAAAATTTGAGATATTAATTCTCTATATTTATATAAAGCTTTTAGAGTTAAAATAATATAATTGTTAATAATAAAATAATAAAGATTTTTTTATTTTGTTCTTACAAATAAAAAATATTAAAATATTAAAATCAAAAATAATAATGTAAGAATACTTTCTTACGTGAAAAGTAATAAGATAAATTTATTAATTGTTGTAAATAAATTATATCAATTGA